ATTTTGGTTCTGAAGGAGAAAAGTGGCTGATGTCAGAACTAGTAAGGCTTCTCTTTCATCCTCATCTATCAGGATTTTTGCTTTCCGTGTCATAATATGTATCCAACAGCACGAAATCTTGTTTGTAGAGTTTCTCTGAAAATGAAACTGCCCTGAGTTTTAGCTAACCTCCATGTTAAACAGTTCTGCCGTGAAGCTTACACACCCTCATGTAATGGCGTTGGCCTCGAAAGTGAAACTGTAAAACACTGTTTCTCTATATATGAAACTGGAGATATTGTGAGATGCAAAGAAATGAAACTAACGCAAACAATGATTAAAAAAAACACACACATCCAGTTTACTCAGAGCCTCCGGGGAGGGGACTTTGGAAGAATATAAAAGCACACAGTGGTGTCTCATATCGCCACTATTTCTTTTACAGGTAACACATCACAGGTAAATATTAAATTATTTCCATCAGATATTCGAATGTTCCTGCTAACTACTTGAAACTTGATGCTTATATATAGTAGCTTTTTCTCCACTTTTTATTGAGAACAGCAAAATGGCAGCAGCAGCGTGGATCAGAAGTGGAGGAGTGGCTGGTGTCACAAACCCCAAAGGCCTATTTTTCATTTTCACTCTGCTGAGTCTCATCTGGATTGCACATTCCCTGATTGATAATGAGCAGCTGGTAAACCAATTGTTGTTTACCTTCTAATGCATACAAGAGCTAACACTCATTGAAAAATTATTCTAACATGATTTTTCTTTATTGCAATAGGTTTACATGCCCGTTAATGTAATTAATGATTTTTATTGTGGATTTACAGACTAAAGTCAAGGAAAATCATGAGAAGGTGAAGCAACAATTGGAAAAACTAAAGGTGAGTGTAAATATTTGAATAATTTACCTGCATGGAAAGCAAGGTCTCTGCATTACTTTACAGTGATGGAATCAATTCACTCAGGGTCTCCTGCTGACATATTCAGAGATATCGACTGTTTACAAAAACTTTATGCATATGACTTCTTGCATGCAAGTTAAACCTTTATGGAATTTCATCTGTCCAAGTGCAAATCATTTGGCATCTTTCTTTCCTCCCATAGTTTTTTCTACAAAGTATGTGCACTGCCGTACATAGTACTGTTTGAAATAGCATCGTACAAAAGTGTCATATTAAAACGTCTTTCCCCACCAGGCTGTCCATATGCCTGAAGTGATCGCACATTCTGACCTTTTGGGTGAATACATTGACCTCATTGACACATATATGGCAATGGTGAAGAATGACTTTCCTGATGAAAATCTCCTAGTGAACCCTCTTCTGAAGAAGATGAAGACTCTGCTGGAGAAAACCAAGGTTTACGTTGAATCGAACCTTTATGGAATTTCATTTGTCCAAGCGCAAAATGATAATAACTAACTAATAGTCTACATTTTCATTTGGTATCTTTGTTTTCTTCCCTAGTTTTTTCTACAAAGTATGTGCACTGCCGTACATAGTACTGTTTGAAAAAGCATTGTACAAAAGTGTCATATTAAAACGTTTTTCCCCACCAGGCTGTCCAAATGCCGGAAATGTTCGCAAATTCGGACCTTTTGGGTGTATATATTGACCTCATTGACACGTATATGGCAATGACGAAGAATGAATTTCCTGATGACTATCACCCAGTGAATACTTTTCTAAAGAAGACAAAGGCCCTGTTGGAGAAAACCAAGGTTTACGTTGACTCGAAAACCGAGGAGTTTGGCAGAGAAATAGATCCTATGGAAGAGGTCGAGAACAAAAACGACAATTTCCACGATGAGCTGCATTCAGAATTGTGATCTGCCTAAAATTGCCTTTGTGTACTAAAATCTGCAAATGAGCTAATCATCTGAATTAGAAAAGTAGACATTATTTTGATTGATAGATCTTTTCCCTTTCATGTATTTTTACATGCATAATCACTATAGAAGTAATCTGGTTCAAGTTAACTCTGGTAGACTAACTAAAGATAAAGAATAAGGATTAGTTGACAATATTTATTATTAGTTATTTTTGTAATCCCATAACCTGTAATCTACAGTCAATAATCTGAAAGTATAACTGAAACACCAGAGTTGATAGTCATCGGCCTTGTTGGTTTTGCATTCACTGAAAATATGTGAATAAATCATAAAGTAAATACTTGTAGTCAGGTGTTTTGTTATACATATGTTTGTGTGTGTCTGCAGTGCATTCTCATTTTTTCTGCCTATTAAATCGACTTGAAAAAGAAAGAATGAACCTTATCCACAGATACTTTTAAAGTATCTCACATTACTTCTAACAAATCAGTGAGCCTTTTTAAAAAATGCCTACCTTTCCCAGGGCTATTTGGAAGAGAAACCTCAAATGAGAATATTTTTGGACAAACACTTTTAAAGTCATTTTCAAAAGAGGACCATCGTAATACAAAATGTGAACTTACCATGGTGAATCTCACCTTTCATCTGGCCACTACCCAAACAGCTTTATAAACCCCTGAACAGAATAATGAAAAGTCATTGATATAACAGCGGCAAAATCTAATAAAGCAGCTGATGAGAAAAATATATAGTAGAGAAAATTAAGCATTTTCTAAAGAGGAATAGAGTTTAGAAAACATTAGTTGGGATGTCTTTGTGTCATCAACAAAACTTTCTTTGGAAAAAGGGAAGCCACAATCAAGTTCACCAGTATATAATAAAAACTGAAAATAAATCATTTGTTTATTTATCACCAATTTTATTGACATTGTTTCTTTTAGTGCCTCAGCTATAAATTTATTGGTCATCAGGAGGCCTTGAAGAGCTGATGAAGATGCTAAAAGGTGGTGAAATGGGTTCCCTCCTTTCCAAGGTTCAAGCTTATGACCTATGACAATGACAAAGACTGCTGCCTCAAATCAGTGCCTCTGTGGGCCAGAATAGTCTTTCCAATTTCTAAAAGAAATTGGAAATCTAAATGAAATACCTAATGGCTAAAATTCATATTGGCCATATTGGGGATATTGTGTCATTACAGTGCTCTGCTAACTGTCCAAAAATAATAAAGGTCATATTCATTCACCCACAAAATGGCAACAGGATAGCTACAACTGTTTGTAATGTTTTATTACAAAAGAGCATGACAGAAAATGACAAAATGAGGTGATGGTGGTTTTGATTGTGAAAAGTTCCTTTCCACGATACTGGATTAATTTCACATAATTAATTCAACAGATGTTTTTCGCCCGTTTCAGCAATGGGGACTCAGAACACTGGCTTCTTGCATCTTGTGCACCTTCAGATTTCCCCGCTGAGACATTCGGAGAGATTATCTATACCTCACCAACCATTCAAACTGCTGCAGTGGAGACGGGTACAGACCTGTTCAGGGGACTGAAGGCTCTGCAGGAAATGACAGCGATGTCACTCTCCGAGCAGTCTATGGTTTCAGTGGTCCTTTGGGCGGTCAGAAACATGAAGATTTAAGATTGCAGTGGATTTGCAGAGTGTGAAACAGCAAAAGGTGCAGAGAGAAAATTCACTTTTCTTTTGCAGTACCATCAAAAGAAGTGAACGACAGATCAAACAACAACACAAGTTGAGAAGAAATATGGCTTTTCCACGTCGACTCATAAAGACATTTTATCCATGTTTTCTTCAAACATTGGAATAAATCAATATCTCACTAATTTTCAATTTAAAAGTCCAATTCCAACTGCTTTTATTTACATTGTAAATTTACTTCCAATGCATTCGTTTAGTTGTGGCTCTCAGCAATATGAGGGAGTCACAATAGGTATTCTGCCCCACTGCAATACGTTTTCCTCTCTTACATAAAAGCTCCCTCACATCCTTTATCATTAACTTATTTTTCTCGTAATTCTCTGTAGCCTCTACATCCAACAGCTCCCGTTCAAAGGCATTTGGCAGTGCACATGTTGCATTGTCCCATTGGTATTCAGTTTATTTGGAAGATGCAAAATGTTTCAACAGTGTTTAAATAACCTCATCAAATTGAGCTTTCTTCACACTGAGCCAGCGGTGCGGGTGATTTAAACATCGGAAAGCTTGCGAGTTCTTCCTCTAGTCCTTTCATCCCCTCCCTCAACCCATCTCCCAGCTCTTCATCCACCTCGTCCTTCCCCCCCAGCTCTCTTTCTGCCCCTTCAGTGGCCGCCCGCTCCTCCGTCCTTCCATCCAGCATATCTGCGACTAAAATTTCCGAAGCGAGCTTCAGCCCACTGCTGCTTGTGTTGCAATTGCCATAAAGTGAATTTCCATGGCCATTGCTGCCGTTACTGTTTATCACGGCACCGCTGTAACTGTTTCCATGGGGACCACCGTTTCCCTGGTTACTGAGGAGTGTTGTCGTCGTGGTTGAAGTTGTTGTTCCATTTCGTTTTTCCATCAGCCGGAATCCATCAGACAGAAGGCTGGCACTGCTAGGGGACTGGGGAGTGGTTGAGGATCCGAGCAGGTCGCGCCCCTTCTCTGAAGACAGCGAATTGTCGGGCATTTGGTGGCCCTGGCGGACTGTACTTCGTCTTTGGGTTACGAAGTATAGGAGGCCTACCCCAAACAGGAAACCTCCCATGAAGAAAAGGATGTATATGGCCAGCACCTGACGGCCTCCTGATATTGCAACTGCTCCTCCTGCACTGGGGTCTTCTAGTGTCAGGTAATAGGCTGCTCGGGAACACGGGGTCGGGTCTCTGATGTCTGGTCCCCCCTCCTGAGAAAAAGATGTGTCAGAAAAAAATTGTTAGATTTGATCTGTCAGGTATGATCTATGTTTTTCTCTAGAAATAGTAAATAATAGATGCAAAAAAGAAAGACAAAAAGAAGAAGAGAGGTGTGGAGCTTGTGTACCTGGCATGTGCAAACGTATTTTCCAAGGCTGTCCTCTGTAACAGTCACCTCCAAATCGGACTGGTGTTGCTTGGTGTGTCTGTGGAGAGGATGGTCCCAGTGGCAGGGCCTTGGAGACAGCTGGACGCACGGCAACAAGAGGCGCAGGCCCAAAGAGACTCGCAACTCTCTGATAGATGGACGGCAACGCCCTGGATAGGAGAACAAGAGTCAGAGAGCAGGATGATGGACCGGAAAGTCATTAAATATTTGATAAATTGCAGAAAAAATAACATAGTTTAAAAGACTGAAATATTTGATCAGATGATACATAATCTAATGAACACAAACTTACCTTCTTGAGCATCACACTTTTTCAAGGCATCATCCACCACATCACCTGGACCAGGGCTGGGCACAGATTAACAATGTTCATTAAAGCAAAAACTTCCCTTCCTTTTGACTTTGTATTGCCCTCTTTGAAATGGAAACCTTCCCTTTAAAACAGTAACTCAATGTTTGTGTTAATGTTGATTATTTACTCTGCTTCATTTAGCTGGCAGGTTCCCTCCGTCGTGCTCCACACACAGCCTATTCCTCTGGCTCTGGCACACACTTCACAGCTGGAATACAGAGCACAGCCTTCTGCCTGGATACGAGCCAGAGACAATGGACTGCCCACCAGAGCCCGGCCCTGGAAGTACAAGAAAACATTACAGATTCACTGAGCAAAAAAAAAAAAGGATTTTTGCAGCTACAACTCACACATGGCTGAATGTGGAGTATAAATACATGGGCTTTACCTGGTGCAGTAGAATATTGTTGACGGGTTCCTGTGAGGTAAACAGAGGAAGCTCCTGCAGTAGAGTGGCGTTCTGGCCTACTACTGCCACCCTGTGGAGTTCCCCATGGCCTGCAGCAGACCCAAATAGAAAAGACGTTTTTTTTCTTTGACTTAGAACTTTTATAAATCTATATAACATTTGATATATCTAGGCGTTTCTTGCATCTAATAATAATAAGAATTCTTCTTAAATCTTTGAACATTTCTACTTTTCTGGAAATGAAACCTAAGTTAAACATTTTTAATTTAAGTTGATAACAAACTCCTCCTATTGTTACCTGTTCCAAGATGTAGCACTGCCCCCCTCTGCTCCCCTCCACTGGCCGTCAGGGTCACAGCAAGCTTGGTGTACCTGATCCCCTTCCGGACCAGCAGGGGTGCCGCAGTCACACTGTTCTCCATCAGAGGGTGGTCTCTCACAAACGTCAGCACTTTGTCAGGAAGTTTCAAGGAGGATTCAAATCCTTGAGCTTTTAATTCACTGTTTAAACACTTCAAAGGAAAGAACGCGTATTTGTCAGTTGGGACATTTTGGTGGAACACAACAAAAAGTTTTTTTTTTAAAGTTGAACAGGGGAAAGAGTGTAGTTCCCTACTTGGCCAGGCCTTGGTGTAGGGACAGGTTCAGGGTTGATCCAGTTCTCGCAAGTCTTTCTTAACTCTTTAAAGGGGCCATCCAACACTTTACTGATGTCAGCCAGACTGAACACACACACAGCCGACACCTCCTCAGGCTCCCTATGCGGGGAAGGCAATGCAGACACAGTTCTCATTTTGCATAATTGCGTAATTTTGACATTATGAGGAGTGTGTTGTCACAAAGAGTTGCCTGATTTGCGAGTCAGTCTTTCTCAACGTACCACTGGGAGGTGAACAGTCCATAGAAGTGTGTGCTGCCAGGGTCGCCTGGAGTGTGTTGCAGAGTGAAAACATCTGTTAAGATGTTATAGCGCTGACCACTTGGTTTGTCCTCACAGACGAGTTGGGCCTTGAGAAAAGTGGTCCAGCGTCTTTGCAGAGTCTTCATGCCCCCGACATCAGACTGAAAAGCCAACATGAATCGAGTTCAGTCTAAGTACTTATTGGATTGATAATCCAGTCCACATGATGTGTTACCTTGCAGACCCGCGCCACCCGTGGCACTTTAACTTTGGTGTATAAATCATACTCTTTGGCCATCTCAGTGAAGAAGAAGTAGATTTTGTCGTCGTCCCCTGTCGGGTTGCTGTCTGCAGACTTCTCTATAAAGGCTGAGCTGACAAACTCTGGGTCTGAATATGTGAAAACAGATAATTGACTTATCATTTGACGTGTGTGTGTGTGTGTGTGTGACAATAACTGAGAGTGCGTTTTTGCATGTGTCGGCAAATGTGTGCATGTGCTTCTCACCACTGAGCCAGTTGATGGATCGCTCAGTGCGGATGCGCTCCTGTTCAGGGCCTGTTGCCCGGGAGATGTCAAAGAGTGTTCCCAGAAAGTTACTTGTGGCTGCTGTGTACAGGATACCACCTAAAGAAAAGAGAGTTATCTACTCACTGGATATGCAATAAATGCTTCAAAACTTAAGTATCGAAACAGGTTAAGAATCAATCTAACTTTGCAGTAACACTTACCCGCCATGACAGCTGTGTAATGTTGACTGGGCTCAAATGGGCACTTGCCCTTTCCCGTCTCCATCCGGACTCCTCCATCCTCGACTTTTTCCAGGATGAAAGAGGAGAGCTCCTGCAGGCAAAGTTTAAAACTTAAATTAAGACAGTAACTAAGTATTGTTACCAAATTATCATGAAATAAGCCCTAGGTTTGTGTTTGATCTTTTACAGGTTTTCTTTCAATGATCTGTGCTGATAAATTTAAATTATGGTCTGTAATGATAAGTATTCAGTGGCATCAGAATTAATACATGCTTGGAAATGTGTAACTAAGGTCTGGAAAATCCTACAAATGCTAATAGACACACCTAATTTAAACAAACATGAGAATGTGTGTGTGTCTTTTCTGCAAAGCCCTTTTGAGGCTGGAATGAAGTTGTCAATGAGTAACGCGGGCAGGAACTGCATGACTAGAAGCATGTAGAGAAAGATTTTCCCCCTTCTCATTATATATGTTGATAATTAACAAGATGATAAACACAAACCAGGAAGGCACACTGTGGATCAAAGGCGTAGGTGCCACAAACATAGATTCGCCCATCTCCAAGAAACTCCAACAGACGAATGTAGTTTTTGCAGTCCGCCTGCAGGGGGGGACAAAATTATAAGAATAAACGATAGGGCGGCAGTTAGATCAACTTTAATGCTTTAATTATTCATCAAGTGTTTGTTTTCATGTTGCCAGGTATTAAATTCCATCAAAATAGGGCTCAAAATAAACAGGAAGCAAAGAAGATACAGTTATCTGAAATTCTGTTCTATTTTACACATGAATTGCACAATGCTAATAGCTAAGGTAAAATTATCTTAAATTTAAAGCGTCAGGGGTCAGTTGCAATTTTCCAGAACTTGCATTCGTTGTGAGCAACAAATAGGTTGTTACTTTAACATAAACACAAACCCATGCTATCTTTTTATATTGATCATAATGTTGTGTTTCTGAATCACCGTAGAGTTTATCAGAGTAATGGAGTCTGGACGACTGGGGTATCAATGATTGGCACTGGAAATCAGAGACCCCCAATGCGTGGAAGGGACACTTGAGAACCCCACTTTTTCTGAACACAGACAACCCTGACTCACACACACTCAGACACGAAGACTCAGACCATTCACTCTCATGAATAAATAATCCATGTGCTCATTAGTAAATTGAGGTCTCATTCAGAAACAGCAATGTTGATTTGATTTGTGGCTTATTTTTAACTCCCATCTTCTATTTGAAAAAAGAAAAAAACAACTTTTTCCAGTTTGCCATTAAACCATGACACAGGCAATAATGTATAAAGCTTGCGTGTACGTGGCACTGCCTCCCCAGATTAGCTCCAGGTCTGAGTCATCAACTTTCTAAGGGACCAAATTCCTTTGATTCCTAAATCCTGTCACTGAAATCAGCCCACCAAACCACCATCATGCTGGTACCGCTCAATATTAGCAGAGTGCCAGAAAGAAACGAATATGCTCAGGCTGACAGCACTGTAATCAACACCAGATTAACTATTTTAGTTTCCATTCTTGGAAATTAGCCTCACCTACAGCACAGACAGGGACAGGAGCAGGCTCAGTAGACTGATTAGGAGAACAGCTCTGCCCTGGACTGTCCACTGGACTCAGTAGAAGTCGTGGGGGAGAGAAGGATATTGGCTAGGCTGACATCCATCACGGACAACACCTCTCACCCCCTCCATGACATTGTGTGATCAGTGAGCAGCTCCTCAGGCTGTTCCACCCACCGGTAAGAAGGACAGATACCGCAGGTCCTTCTTCCCTGCTGCTGTCAGGATACACAACACCTGCACTGCCTGATCCATGATGCCTCTGCATTCAATTGGAAAATTTGTCAATTGGCAAATTGGTGTTCATTGTAATATTTTTTTATTTTAATAATCACAATATATATTTTGACAACTCTCCCTTGTAAAAAAAAATCTCACGTCACCCCTCTGTTCATTGAACTCCACTGGGTACCTCTGGCTGCCCGTATCAAATTCAAGTCCCTGATGCTAGCCTACAAAGTGCTTAAGGGTATGGCTCCCATCTACTTGAATCCCCTTGCAAAGGCTTATGTCACAACTCGATCACTCCGGTCATCAATGGATTGTCGTCTAGCAGTGCCTTCACCACGCTTAAGACAATCCAGACTGTTTGCATGTGTCGCTCCAAGATGGTGGAACGACCTACCAAGCTCCACAAGAACAGCAGAGTCCCTGTCTGTTTTCAAGAAACTCTTGAAGACCCACCTCTTCAAAGAGCATCTCCTATCCCAACCCTAACCCGTACCTCTACCCCCCCACAGCTCCTTCTGTAGTCCCTCTACATCTATCTCCATCTCACCACTGACTCTGATCAGTGTTTCTCCTCTATATAGCTTATTGTCATTGTGATGAGAAATGTAATATTGTGTCTACTCTGTAAGTCGCTTTGGATAAAAGCGTCTGCCAAATGCATAAACATAAACAAACATAAATAACCTTTATTTATTTTGTTGCATTGTAAATAACCTTTATTTATGCCTCCACTGTGGTTGTGCTTTTTCCCTAATTTCTGCTGTGAAAATTTCCCCATTATGGGATCAATAAAATATTCTATTCTATTTCTCTACCCCCTCGAACTAGGATATTCTAGTCAACGTACCTGCTCAGATACAGCGCTATTTCTTTATTCCATCATCTTGTTTCTGTAATATTAATTTATCCCTGTCCCTTCCAGTGCTCCTCTTTCTGCCCCCGTTCTTCAAATTCCTGTGACTCAGGCATAATCCTTTAATCAATGTTTTCACAGAAAAACACAGCCATAATCTTTCTGCCATTGTTCGTCAGTAACCTCCTTACAGTTTCAAAAAGAAAACTGTGCTGATAATGAAGGCATGAAATGGGAAAAATAAAAATACCACTTCCTTTCCTTTAAAACCATGACCTTCCAGTGGCCGGTGCATATTGTATTTGACCTCATTTTTCTGGACTGAGGCCTTTTTGAGCACAAACAGGTCAGCCGAGGAAACATCGCAACGCTGGATTTTGTTTCTTTAACAGGTTTAAATCGCTAATATCAGACCCTCCACTAGGTGCAGAATCTACGTTAGATTGCTGTTGCTTTTTCAAACCAACCATTTGCTAAAATATTAACTAAATGTACTATTGGTTGAGTGCAAGCAGTTTAGTAGCAGTAACAGTACAATGGGAGGGACAGGCTCAGTGTACCGTATGCTCTATTTAATCAGTTTCCATAGACAGGACATCTGTGACTTCTCATACACCATCTTTCCCCCGAACTGTGTTTGTGTCAGTACGTCAGTATGCACGTTCACATACAAACACAGACACACAAATATACATGCATATAAACACACAATGCAACCTTGGACTGAGTCCCAGAATTTCCATCCAATGCCTAACAGTGCTGGCTTGTGAAAATAAAGCACGCACATACAGTAGCAGCAAATATGTGCGCAAGGAAATCATTTACGGCTAATTCTTGAGGCTACTTAAGTTCAATACATTATATCAATACCGAAAGGAATATCTGATGATTGTGATGACAAAGAAAAGCCTTCACTGTAAAGAATTAGTGACCCATGGTTTGCCCTTTTGCTTATTGGAGTGGTTCAATGACATGGAAAAAGATTTATCAGTTTTCAGTGACAAAGGGGATGCTTGCCATGAAGACAAATCTATAACTGGCTTTACAGTTCTATGGGAATTGATGATGAAAAAAATACGAAAACATCAGAGACACTCTTAGCTGGAGGGGATTAAAATGCAAACGAATCCCTCAAGTCCTCCTTAAACTGCACTTCATTTATGTTAATCCTTCTAAAACCGTAGCGAAAACATAAGAGTCACATTGGGAGACAATAAAATGACCTCGTAGTATATTGGAGATAAATCATCTCACATACTTATTTACGCAGAGATTCTTAGAGATGAAGTCATTTCAGGACACTTAATTTCTTCCAATTATGGTCCATTAAAGTTACACTTGTGCTGTCCAGGATCTGCCCTGTTTGGCGTCATGTCACCTTTAAGGTTAAGGAATGACCAGTTTGTACAAAAACCTTTTAGCTTCATGAGACAAAAACGTAAAAGTGTACGCCGCACAGACACACACACAGACACTCACACAGACACACACACAGGCACAGGACTTCACCTCTGTCTTCCCCTTCGCCACACAAGACTTCCTCTTGTCCTCAGGCACATCCCAAACAATCTGGAGACAAAGTACAGCGTCAGTTAATTGTCAGTAGTTGATCATTGATCCAAGTTAGCATTATCATTGAAAGTTCTGTATGAAAGTTTTCATTAAAAAGGAACCTTCTTCCATCAAAGGAAAATTTGAAAACCTACACTGATGGAACTCATCCAGATTACGCTTTCAGCTGTTACTGTGGCAAAAGCAGGGCCACGTGCTTTTGCCACAAAAACAGTGGGAGCCTGCTTAGGTTTTCACATATTTTTTGGTTTCACAATTAAAATAAATGTTGATGTTCACCGTGGTAAGAATGTAATGGTCATTAATTGACACTGAATATCGTAAATGAAACTTTAATTCAAGACTGTCATGTCTCAAAATGCTAAATATACAGGAAGGGTTAAATACTTTACTAAACATATGATAAACCTGAAGAAAAGAGAACCTATCGCACTTAATCAAAAACACTACAGTGCTTTATATTGTATATTTAAATAATCCAAACTAACACGTTTTATAGATCAAATAAGAGCCATATGTTAGAATGTACTGGTTTGCTGTTCTACAAAAAAGAAAGAAGGTTATTTAAACCAAAACCCTTTTCTAATTCATTGCTCCATATTTTACTTCAAGTGTCCATTTGAATCTTTTTTAAGAGACTGGTGGCAAACTAATCATCACCATTTTTGGTCGTTGGCTCAGGTTGTTGGTGTCTACAGCCAGAATGGTGTCCCTGCCGCCCAGAAAGAGCATCCCCGATGAACCATCCAGAAGGAATGTACTGAAGTTGGCTGCACTTTTGAACGTCTCTGGACCCAGCATGGCATCTGCAGATCAAAAGAGATACTATGAGTGAAGATAGTGCCACAGACAGAATATAGGACATGGTACAAAATTACCAAAAAGATAATCAGTTAGCTGCAAGTACACAAATAAAATATAACAAATAGAATGACATTCCTACTTTCTTTATTCATTTTACAGTGATTCCACTTATAGAACGATAATAAAACATATTCTTGTTTAATCATGTTTCTGATGTGTTACACTTCTGACACTTTAAGGCTCCAATGAAAAGCATTTAATTACAGGGCAGATTGTTTAAAAGAAACACTCATTAATCCACTCTTTATACAACTTGGGCTCAGAAATATAAAGACTGTTTTAATATCACACGTGCTGGTAGAATAGTTTTATGGTGATCTGAGTTGATAATACTTTCTTCCCTTTAATGATCAGTTATGACCCTACTGAAAAGTCATGTTTGAAACCCCCTTTGCTGTTTTCAACAGCAGGGCTAACCACCACTCCACTGTGCAGCCCCAACTGAAAACATACTTGTGTCAACTTTATTGCACCTTTGTTCATAGATCCTTTTAATTTTTTTTAACAGAATGAACCTTAAATCAACCTCCTTGCTGTCATGACTGTCCTTAATTTCAAAGCTTCAAACCTCAACATCCCCATAAATATTGCACAGGAGGGGAAGCAGCATTCCATTGGGCGTTGCTTTCTGCATTAATGATGTGGGAAATTCAAAAGAGGGATAAAGAGTAAAGAGCAAAAGCACACACATGAGCAAACAACCCCAGCACTGCAGAGAATATGATAACCAACACAACCAATTAAACAAGAACACATCTAAACTTCATCAATTTAATCAATTTATCATGATATGTGGCTCGTAAAAACACAGTTAAGACTTCCACAATTTCTATAAGTAATAAGGGAAATTATATAAGGATCCCAAAAGAGTCACAGGAACAGGAAACCCAATTTAGCAGCTGCAAATTAAAAGTTTGAACAAACTTTTTGGTCTTGTTTTTACGGTGACCAGGACTTAAAGCACCACATCAGGATAACCTCATAAATGGCACATTGCGCTGACATGACTTTCCACTTAGAGCCCGTCTGTGTCTGCCTGTGTTGTTCTGTGAAATGAAAAAAGGCCCCAACACGCTGGCATCCGCCGCTAACAGAATCGCAGAAATGTTCCCTTCCCTTGCCTCCATCGTGAATCTCTCGTCCAGTCAGTCTGTCTGTTCCCTTTAACAGTTCATATGATTTCCCATTCACTAAGAAGCCATCTGTTCAGCTAAAAAGGCCTTCAGGCATTAAATAGTAACAGTGGCTCTCATTTGCTTGCAGAGGGGTTACACTTCCTGAAAGGCCAGACGACAGAGACATGGAGAAAGACAATAAATGTCTTTCAGACGTACTGCAGCTGCTGATATCCACTGTGTGAGTGTCGCTACGTTGGTCTGGATTTAAGGTTTTTTAAGAACATGCTATAGTTTTTATACTTTTACAGCAAGACTTCTGAAATAAACACTTTCCCAATCAATCAGTCAGTCTCTTGAGAATAACTTTTAAAAAGGACATAAAGGACGGTACAGCTGTGTCCAGATGTGTCCATCACTGTGTGAATGTGAATAGTGAAAAGCATGGTGTGGCCTGTATAACTGCACGGTCGGACATATGCAGTGTGGGAGGACGGGTGAAAGCAGCATGTTGTGTAAAAGCACTCCGAGTGGTCAGCTAGACCAGAAAAGCCTTACATAAGTTCAGTCTACACTTCTGACATGAAGAGGGGGGAAAAACAGACCAGCCCTCTGTCCACTTAGTTCATTTTTGTTTTGTCAATCGTGTCAGTTCCTTACTCTGTGGTCCATCTTTGTTTTCAAGATCTGCATGCTCCTTTGGATTTTTCAGGCTATGGCCTCTTGCTAGACTGCTGCACACATGCATACACATATGTGCAGCAGAGCAGACATGACCGTTGGTGACACAGGCCAAAGGCAAGATCTGAAGCAGCGTCCTTGTGAGCCGGTCCTCACTGGCTGTGTAGGACGCACACACACATGCACACGATGCAACCACCTGCTGTGCACTCTAATGTAGAGAGATGATTCCTAGAGCTACACCATCTGCCCCGGTTATACACAGTCACACAAACACACTCGCACATCTCTAAATATACACAAGAAAATTCACAGCTTGTATACTAATACTCCACTCAAACTCTTTTCCCTCCCATATTTTATCTTAAACACCTTGTTGAAAAGGGAGGAACATCAAATCTTATATCTTGATCCTTTATCTTTGCCTAAGCATGTGTTATGTGTGAAAATGTACAGTAAGTAATGTGCATAAACAAATCAAAGCTGGCCGGGCTTTGATTCATAAATAACCATTTTTAAAACAAATCACTAATTACATAACCCTTAAGATCACATATCAACACAATAAGAGGTTAGGATGGATAGACTCCAGCCCCCGCGCAACCACATTTGGGAATAAGCGGTTCAGTGAATGGATGGATAGATTAGAATTCATGTTTAACCACTATAAAGATAATATATAACAATATTTTGAAATCATAAAACAACCAGTGTTTACGAGGGGAGATGCCCAACCAGATCAAATCTCTTCATCTTGTCAACTCAGGATTGTATTATTTTATCAGATCAATTAAAGCAGCTTTAGCATGTTTATGAACCAGAGTACCTTTCCTTATTTAACTTTCCTCCCCCCCAGATGGATAGGTTATGAACGATGATTCTTTCTAAATGCATGGGGCATTGCCCTGATGTAGTCCAGATAAAAACACAATACATGTTTCACCTTTACCTATGATTACTTTTTTTTTTTTTCAAATCATGTTCATGGACAATCTGGATGACCTTAAATATTCTAGAGAGAGAGACAAAAATGGGGAGGGGGGGGGGGGTTCACACTCAAAGTAAAAAGGACTGGTGTGATTATAGACGAATAAATATTCAGTATTCCTAAAATACAAAATTCTCTCCCCTGCCATGAATCATTCATTCATTATACATTAAACATGACAGAGACGCTTACAGGGATGGAAACCAACAGGGTCAGTGTGTGTGTGTGAGTGGCTTTATAAGTGAATGTGTGTGTGGGTGGTTGGGACGGTCCATTAAAGGTTTAATAAACTGACTTTTGCTCGGAGGGACCAACCGTAGTGTAAGGCCACAGGGCATTGTGGGACAGAGCCAAGCAGGAAGTGATAAATTATACACCTCCCTTCTTCATCTGTCAATCAAAGCTGACGGGATGGAGCGAAGAGATGCATGCACACAGGCTCCTACCCCCACAGTGAGACAGGACACAGCTGCATGATCACCACAATCCCACACTGTGCAGAGACACACATTTATAGCGCTATCATCCACTCAGTGCCATTTCACATTTTCCAGCTGCAGTTTCCTCTGAATTGTTGCACAGCAGACAGGGGCAGACCTACTTCACAGGTTAAAGGAATGCTTCAGCTTTTGGCAGATTTTCAAAAGGTAATTCTTCTACCAACCTTACCTGTTTTATTAGAAGACTTTAGCCCATTTTCCTGTGCAATGAAAAACAGGAGCAGGCATCCAATGGAGGGCAACCTCTCAGTCATATGCATTAATCCAGCATTTGAACCATTCACAGAAACCTTCGCTGTCATGGACTCTTGTGAAGAGCGCATATGAATATTAGGATGGAAAACTTTATTTGACTTTCTGAAGGACTTCAGCAAATAGCTAGGTTTAGTCAGCTCTAAATTTCTAAATGACCTAAAACTATCCCTTTAACAGACTGATCAAGCCACCTACAACATCTCTGAAAGGAGTTTAAGCTGATAAAAAGGATGTTGTGTAGTTTGGTATAAGTGTACAGCGTATGCACACTTACAGTTTGATTAAAGGAAGAATACAAAGATGAATACAACTTCTCAGTAACATCAAGAAAAATAGTCATTGAGTGAGTGGGGAAGCCATTAGTTCAACTCATAAACCCTCTCTATGGGGCCTCACTTGAGATCGGTGCCCTCCTACGCTCTGGTCTTCATCCTCTTCATTCAGAAGTGAAGACATCAAAAAAGCTAAATGACCCTGACAGAACCCTGGCCTCTCCTTTGAGGTTCTGCTTCAGTGGGAGCACTAACACACACACATATTACTGGTCCGGGGGGAACTAAAGGATTTCCAAACAAAAAAGAGGAAACTTGACATAAAGGTAGGAGGAGGAAATGAAACATCTAAATGCCACTGAAACAAGAAATGAGGAGCCCCCTCCACTTCATCAGTTGCAGTGGTTTCCACAACATCTTTTAGTCTAATGCTCTGATACTCTTTATTTTAATGAGGTGTGCGTTTGTGTGTTTATATTTGTATGAACTTAGATGATAAATAACGCTACTTTCAGCTCATGCCACCATCTTCCTTATTCCAGCCACCCACCACCTCTTCTCCTTCCCCAATTTCCCAGTGTCTATCCCACCCCCACCCCCTCTCTCCCTCTGGCTGTGGATGATAAGCAGTAGCACTACTAATCAGGCTTGCCCTAAATTCGCACATGCCCTGCTGGATTAGTGTCTGTATGTGTGTGTGTTGGTTTTGAACCTGGTTGCCAACAGGCCTCACCAGCCCGCACACAGGAAGTGTGTGAACATAGAACCGAGTGTCTGTGAGAAATTTCAGCATGAATGAGTCAGCATGTCAACACAATCGTGCTATTTTTATCTCAAAGTAAGTAAAACTGAACTGCTAGAAAATAAAGTCATTCCGTTGCATAATTAGTATCTCGGGAAATTTCCAGGAAATGATGTACCTCTTTAAAAAAAAACTTTCTGGGAACTGTGCTCATCTATGGAAGCAGATATAAACACAGGTATAAGCAATCTATCTTATAAGCCCTTATAAGACATACAGTGTGTTTACAGCACTGTAAACACCGTACAAACTGTTGACTGATGCCATTTTAAACATTCGGTGGGAGGAATTATAACTGGAACCCATCTTTCAAATAAAAGCACTTCCAC